CCCCCAATAATAAATAAATAAAATTCATTAAGTTTTGGATCCTTTAGTGGTTGCAGATCGCTCGGACTGTTACTGGGTTTTCTTCCCTGTGCCATTCTTGTCTGCAGAGTTTGTGGAGGTTACCAAGTTCACCGGCCCGTCCGAGTGCACGGAATCCTTGCGCGGCGGCATGCGCTCGTTAATGCGATCCAGCCCTCGGGCTTCTTCGAAGCTGCGGATCTTGTGCTGGGGTGAAAATCCACGAATGGCTGCCAAAAAGAAGGGGAGGGAGAGAAAAGTCAGGCTCTGAGTTGTGGTTCTTCAGGTAGGAGACCTTTAGCCACATGCCAGATGGGTACGGGATAGAGTCAGGGTGACAGAAAGCACGTGTCTGGTCACGGGGAACCATCAGATGGGTCCAGAGGGGATTTGTGGCATCACCAGCTCATGTGGGGACCACAGTGCAGCTGGGAAGTTGAAGTTTTTTGCTGCTAGGTGACAGCAGCAAAGTTTAGGATCCAGATTCCTAATAGTTCCTCTTTTAATCATGGAATCATAGAATGGTTTGGGTTGGAAGGGACCTTAAAGCTCATCCAGTCCCAACCCCCCTGCCATCAGCAGGGACACCTTCCACTAGACCAGGTTGCTCAAAGCCTCATCCAGCCTGGCCTTGAACGCTTCCAGGGAGGAGCAGCCACAGCTTCTCTGGCCAACCTGGGACACTGTCTCACCACCCTCACACCAAACAATTTATTCCTAATAGCTCATCTAAACCGCCCCTCTTTCAGTTTAAACCCATTTCCCCTTGTTCTGTCATTAACTGCCCTTATAAAAAGTCCCTCCCCAAACACAGTTTAGTGTTTGGAACTTGAAGACCAGACAAGTGCTCAATGTCCCGAGACTGTGAAATCTCAGGAAACTTTCAAAAGTTGAAAAAAACACAATACTAAAATAAATAAAATAAAATAAACAAGCAAAACCAAACCAACACAACAAAGACACCATCAGGAGGCTTTTAACTCCAACACAAACCCAACACACTGCAAACACCAGGAGAGGGAGGGAAACAGCTTATTCCTCGGATCACAAACGCTTCTTGCATGACCAGGAGACACGCAGGCAAGTTCTGAGCAGTGATGAAATCCCACCAAGGGCAGGTATATCTCTGTTTCATCACCACGAGGGGCTGAGGCTGAGTACATCATCCTCACGGTGATGATACTGACCAAATGTTTAACTTCTTTGTATCACAATTTGTTGAAGAAAAAAGGGGTTTGTGCCAAATCTTTTTTTTTTATGAGGACTTGGCTGGTTTACAAACAAACTTCCCTTGGTAATCCAAAAAGTTCTCTATGCAGAGGTACAGCCCCTTTCATCAGTAAGTTGAATCAAGGAGGAAACCTCAGGAATCCATCATTTCTACATGAACTATAGGGAGAAAAGTGCTTCTCCACACTGAGACCACCTAGACCCACCTGTGGGGAAGGTGAGGATTCCACCAGAGCCTTGCAATCCACTATTTCCTAGATGATTTTAACCCAGAGTGCTGGCAGCCTTCACTGGATCGAGCTACCCAGGGCACGAACTCAGCCACAAAGCATCTGAGATCAGATTGCAAGACCCTCAAACACCAAGGTCTTGAGACATCAGAGCACAAAACAGCTCAGGAGAGCGGGTAATCTCAGAATAAAGGTATTGCCTTAATTGCAATAGCCTCATTAAGGTTAAAAATCACCTCGAAGCAGCTCGCTGTGTCATTTTTGGCTTCCCAGCAGGGGCCCATCTTCCCCCACTTCTGGTGATGCAAGAGTAAAAAGCTTCCATAAGGTTTGATAAAAGCTCTTTAAAATGAGGGCAACACACATACACACACACACACACACACACACAGAGATGATCTGAGTCTCTTGCCGGATTCTAGCCATACCTTCCCGTGCCTCTACTGCTTCTACTGTGGCTGCAATACAGAAGAACAGTGGCATGCAAAAATGAAGACAGAAGAAAAAAAAAAAAAAACAATCAAAAAAAGAAAAAAAAAACAATCAAAAAAAGAAAAATAAGAAAAAAAAAAGAGTGACAGTGAGTGATCTAAACATCATCGCTGCGAACACGAGAGCCCACAGCCTCCCAGCCCCGGTGGAGAGACAACTGTCATCAAAATTAAGCTGGTTAAGAGGGAGGAGGAGGGGGGGGGAAATAAATAAATAAATAAAAATATAAAGGTGATAGGAGTTTGAGAGGAAGAGGAGGTTGAGAGGAAGGGTGAAAGGGGAATCCCTCGGGTTTAGTGTCCTGCTGAGCGCTGACACAGGGGAGTTTCCTTCCCTGATGTTCACTGGACTCGTCACGCGGAGAAAATTGGATGGAAAGAAAGAGAGAAGCAGAGAGATTGTCCCACAGCAAGGACAGTGACAGTCCTAGACTAAAATGTGGGTCTCCACCTCCATTTCCAGCCCCCTCCTGCTCTCAGTTTGTTGGCTCTAGGTCACCCTGGTCACCTTCAGAAGAGAAATTATGTGGCATTGAGCCCAAAACAAAGCCCCAACCACCAAAGCCAGGTAAGGGAAGTGAGCCCAAGGGATGTGATGACATTTTGGAGAGGGGCAGTTTGTTCTCCAGGGGAGGGTAGGAAGCAGCAGCAGCAATCAGGCTGCTCCATCCTGATGCCTTGATTTACACCAAAAAAAAATACAATAAAATAAAACAGGTTGATGCTTTAAATCCAGTTTGGCTTCAGCTCCACCTCCTAAAGGAGTTACCAAGCAACAAGGCACCATAAAGCTGAGCAACATCCCCCCTTCCTAAATCTGCTGCAGCAGCTGTCCAAGTTTTGGTAGTCCCTGCCTCAACAACTGGGAGGAGGCCCTTCCCTCCAGCAGATCCCCTGTTTTTAGCCTCAAAACACCAGAGTTTTTCACTTTGGACACAATAAAAAGACCACGTGGTCCTTGAGAGGCCACAGAAGAAGAATGGAGTTGTGGCTGAGTATCTTTGCTCCAGATTTGGTGACTTTACTCAGCCACTTTTGCTAAGTGAAAGGTTGGCAGGAGGTTCAGGGAGGGAAGGGGTCCTGTCATTGCTACCTGCAGTCTTGTTTCTTTTCTTTGAGGGTCCAGAGGCACCCCAAAAGTTGGGCAGCTCCCTCTTCTCCTTGCCAAGCAGAGGGACTCTCAGCACAGCTGCTGAAGGAGTGCCTGGAGGTTCACATCTGCCAGCAGGCAAGTCAAAGGGATGTGTGAAGTGGGAAAGGGTGAGAGAAGGATGCACGACAGGGAAAGGAGGGTGAGAAGGGCATGAAAAGTGGGGTGCTGTTGAGGAGAGCTCAGGGTGCTGCTGAGGGGAGCAGTGGGGTGCTGTTGAGTAGAGCTCAGGGTGCTGCTGAGGGGAGCAGTGGGGTGCTGCTGGGGGAAGTAGTGGGGTGCTGCTGAGAGAGCTCGGGGTGCTGCTGGGGGGAGCAGTGGGGTGCTGCTGGGGGGAGCAGTGGGGGGCTGCGG